ACAGTGGAAGCAATTCTGACCTCCTTTATTACCTTTAGGTGGCACTGTTTATGAGAAAGACTTCCTTTTCCTGACACAGGCCCTAAACTGGCAGCAATAGCTGCCCCAATAATTTTGGCCATTCTCTGGTCTTTTCTCTTCCCTCTAGATCCCAGTTGTTAAAAGAGGGAAAAATTTAAACAAATATATAGCAAATAATTTTGAACATTATAATCTTTTAAGCTTAAAGCTAGAAATATTAACAATATGATCATTTCCAATCCAGAGATACATGTTCCAATGCAGTTCCTATTTTCCATAAATGGTTTTGGTAAGAAGAATATTGTAAATGTGGATACAGTTCCACTATTCCTCCTGCACATGCCATGATATAGTGTTATTAGCATGAGGAGTTATAAATCCATTGCCATCCTTACTCTAACTTAATTTTTTTTACATTTAAATTTATTCTTAATTTCAGTAAAAATTTACAGAGGCTTTGGATTTCCATTCATTCATTGTTGCACATTTCTCTCCTCCTAAGCCTCCCCCAAGCCAGATTTTTATAATATTACCTTTATGTTATGTGCATCAAAATCAAACCCAAATTCACTGCCATTTACAGTTTCCCCTTCACAGTGACCCTGTGGACTGAGTGTAACTGCCTTATAGGGTTTTCAGAGTTGTAAATTACTGACAGGAGTAGACTTCCTTTCTTTGTCACAAGGAATGGCTGATGAATTCAAATTGCTGACCTTTTGGCTAGTAACCCAGCCTTGGCTCCTGTGCAAACAAGGCTTCTTATGCAATGTGAAAGATGTTGTTACGGGCCCTTGAGTCAACTTCAGCTTACAGCAACCCCATATCCAAACCTTGCCCATCCTGCACCATCTTCACAGTCACTGTGTCAGTCCAGCTCCGTGAGTGTCCTCCATTCCTTCACTGACCTGCTGCTTTTCCAAGCATGATGGGAAAGAGTGGGTGCCTCCTGACAACAGTGTGCAAAGCTCATGAGACAGAGTTCCACCGACCTTTCTGTGAGGAGCATCCTGGCTGCATTTCGTCCAAGACAGATTTGATTGTCAGCAGAGCATTCCGTACTCGGATTCCCCAATACCACAATTCAGAGGTTTTCGTTTCCTCTCCAGTCTTCCTTATTCATTGTCCAGCTTTCAAACGCATATGAAATAAAAATATTATAGCTTGAGTCAGGTGCACCTTAGTCTTTAAAGTGGTGTCTTTGCTTTTTTATCACTTTAAAGAGCACTTTGACAGCAGATTTGCCTAATGCAATATGACTTTTGCTTTCTTACCTGCTTCTCCCGAGGGTGTTGATTGTGGATCCAAATAAAATGAAGTCTTTGACAACTATAACTTTTCTCCATATATCATGTTGTTGTCTATTGGTCCAATTGTGAGGATTTTCCTTTTCTTTATGTTGAGTGAATTCCTTTGAAAGATATGTTACTAACAATTACAGAAAAATTGTTCATGGTTACTGTAAATGCATATGTGATTTGCTTATAATTTTAAAAGTAATTACTTCTGTGCTGTTTTTGTTTGCCATCAAGTTAGACCAACTCATAGCTGACCCCCCAGTGGGATTTCAGAGGCAATTACTCACAGAGGGGAAAATTTCCCATCCTTCTTCCATGAGCAGCTGGTGGGTTCACATCATGTTCCTCTGGGATTACAGCACAGCTTCTTACCAGAACTTACAGGCCACCAGAACTCCCTAAAGAATTTCATTCTATAGGAAACTGATATTCAGTAATTGATATCTGTTAGAAGAATTTTTAAAGTAGGAGTCACCCAACCTTGGTTCCTGTCTGGGCTTTATAAATAAACGAGATGTGTAGACTTCACCAAATTGCTTACCCCATTCCAAGACTGTTCAGTCATTTTTAGAATGAAGGTGCTGAGATAATGGATTATTAAAATTCCATTTAACCCTATTATTCTGGGGTTTCATTACTGATAATCTTTCCCATTGGAAAAAGAAGTCATGGATGATGTTTTTGAGTATATAGTTAAATGTGAGAAGAAACATTCTTAGTTTACAAAATGCTATGTAATTACAAATAATGAGTTCAAGTTAGTAAAGTAGGCTGCCCGACTCTGGCCACCTGGTCCCTGGCGTTAGTAGTAACACATCTCATTGTTCTAAAATGATGGCTTTCCCCCCCTTTCTTTCATTTTTTTTATTATATTAGTTTATTTTCAAAATAAAATGATGGCTTTTTAATGTCAGCATTTGGGCTTCCTTCCAAAGTCAAGGACTGAGTGAGCACCCAGCTCCCTTGTAGACATGACAAAATCATCCTTTACTTCTTACTGAAAACTTCTCCCTTTTATGTCTTATTGTGATGATCACATCAGTTTTTGAAGAGAGCTTTTCCCCCGTAATCATTACATGAATCTCTGTCTAATCATGCATTCATGGAATCACAATTTTGTCCACTCTATAAATCAGCTGATGATTTCCTCCCAGCACCTTTCTGATTGTTCTAGATTAGTGTATGTCACTAGAGAGGAATCAGCCTCAGTGTTGGTCATTAAGTGTCATAAATTCTAGTATGGATGCTGTGGAAAGAATATTTATGATAAGCCAGTGAGGTATCACAAACCATGCTGCAGGGAATGTCCTGTAATAATAATAATACAAGAAACTGACGGTTACTAACTTCTTCCTTTGTTCCAGGCACAAACTATTTCATTTTCCCCTCATGCCAATTCTATGAAGGATTATCTTGCTTTACAGGCAGGAAAACTGATGCTTAGAAACATCATGAAAGGTGTTTAAAAATTGATAATCATCATTACCACTTCTGGGTAATAAAATTTGAGATCGGGTTGTTGTTGGTTTTTTAATTTCCATTTTTGTGATTTCAAGTATCATTTGCATTCTTAAAAGATACCATTTTTCCAAAGTAATCATTTTTCTTTTTTAAAATGAAAGCATATCTGCCAAGTGGTTGATTCTGAGAGTAAAAATGTAGATGGGTATTTTTCAGGTTTGTTTGTTTGATTTTAAAAAAAGGTATTGCCTGAAATTGTTCATCTGGAAGGTAGCCAAATTAAGATTCAAATACAGAGCTTTTTGACAACAAAGTCCTTCCTCTCTAAATAATATGTTTATCAAAAAGATGCTATGGGGAGGGGAGAGATGCCGTATAAGCAAGCATTTCACAAAATCTCAAGAGCATTAAAAAATACCCATTGAAACAAAGTGTCCTTCCTGTGACTGCTGCCTCTGAGACACCTGTTTTTCCCCAGAGCCTTCTGGTCATCAACCTCAGGGAACTTGTGGGGCATTTACACTTTACCTGCATAAGCATGCTGTTAACTGCTGTGGGGCCTTCAACTCCTGCTACCACCATCCACAGTGCAGCTAAATGCCATCCGGTTCCACACTGTCTCGTAATCAGGTGTGGATTGGACCAATTGTGACACATAGCGTTGTCACTGGCTGATTTTTCCATATAAACCAACACAATTGTCATCCTAGTTTATTTTAACCATGAACTTCAGCTGAAAGATGTTCAGGAGCAAAGCAACACACATGCTATTAATGGGCATTTTGTGGCTGTGTTTGAGAGACATCAGCCAGGAATTTAGCCCTTTTGTCCCTCATAGAAGATGAAAATTCTGTCCCTAAATCACCACTGATAAGCTTAGATGGATGGATGTTCTCTTCTACACAAATGCACCATACCCTAATGTTTACTTTGTTCATTTTCCCCCCTTCACTGAATGATACATCCAGAGATTGTTCCTTTGTGGTTTATATACTGTAGTGATGGCTGCATTGTACAGACAGCTTCATTATGTGATGGCCTTTGCTTTATTTAGATGACAAAGTGGTGTCTCCCTCTCTTTGCCATGACCAACCTTGATTCTGTGAATGTCTTTGTACCTAAAATATTTCACTGTTTATTCTGTAGAATAAACACCTAAAATTGAAATGGCTAAATCAAAAAGCATATACATGGAAAATGTTGATAGATTTTTGCCAAATGATTCTCCCTGAAGGTTAAAGCAGCGTATGAGAAAGCCTGTCTCCCCACTCGCCACCAGCTCCATGTTTATTAAACATTCTGACCTTTACAAATCTGAAAATCAGTGAAGTTCTCTCATGTGACTCTTAATTCACATTTCTCTTAGGAGTAACATTGAGCAAAGTTTTACTTTTTTTTTTTTAATTACAAGGGTTTTTAGGAATTGTCTTTTAATTTCTATTTTGATGGGTTGGGGTTTTTTTTTTTCCCTTACAAAGTTTTATTATTTCCTACATAGTTGGATTTATTACTCTTTGCTTTTGATTCTTTTAGTTTTGCATCATTTTTTTAGAAAAGACTTCCCACTCCAATTTTTTTGTAATCATGCATGGCTTCTTCCAATACTTTTCTGGTTGGTTTGGGTTTGTTTTTTTTTTCATTTGTTCTTTGCTGTATCCAGAATTTATTTTCATGTAAGATGTGCTATAAGAATCTTTTCCCCCATATGGCTACCCAGTTGTCTTAACACTATTTAATTAATAATCCATCTTTTCTCTAGCAATTTGAAATGCCATCCTTACCGTACACTAAATTTCCTTCTTTATAGGGTTATTTTTTCTTTCATATGTATTTATTACAAGTAAACATAGGCTCACACTTACTACTCTCACAAAATATTATTTGCAGTACTTTGTGAGATACTAGCTATGAATGTTTTGGCACTTGAGGAAGAAGGAAAGTGGATCATGTGTTACCACAGCTCTCAGCTGGTACACCAGCCAGCCAAACTCAGCGATCACCCTGGTTAGCAACACACAGTGCTGGCCCCCAGCCGTATTCACCCTTATTTTGTATCCCTTGGAGTTTGTAAGGATCAAGGAAACAACCATGGAGAAGAAGCAGTGGTTTTGCCTGGGGAATATTCCACATCTTAGAATGAAGGTGCCTAATATTTCCTGTTCAACTCTGTCTTGAGTTGCACTCTAACACTTTTAAAAAAAAATCTGTATCTTCCTGCTTCAGATACACACCCTTGGACTATGCTTTGCTTGGTGAACGCCATGAAGTGATTCAGTTCATGATAGAGCACGGTGCCCTGTCCATCGCAGCCATCCAGGACATTGCTGCCTTCAAAATCCAGGCTGTCTACAAAGGGTACAAGGTCAGAAAAGCTTTCCGAGACCGGAAGAATCTCCTCATGAAGCACGAACAGTTGAGAAAGGATGCTGCTGCCAAGTAAGTATGCGCTACAGAACCAGGGGGCAGAGGGACGGGTGGGCGAGGCGAAGACGGCAAAGCTCTGGCTCACATCCCGCGGCCAGGCTGCTGAGCGAGGCTAGACACGTTATTACAGCCACTGTGTCAAGCATAACATTCCTTGGAAGGGAACATCGTCCTTTCTTTGGAGGGAAACATGTTGGTTGGAAAGGTAGAGGCTCAGTCAAAGAGAGGAAGACTCTCAACAAGAAAGGTAGACCCAGTGAGTGGAGAAATGGGTTCAAGCGTGTCAGCAAGTATGAGGATGGCACAGGACAGGGCAGAGTTCAGGCCTGTTGTTCACAGGCTTCCTATGAGTCATACTCGTTTGGATAGTGCCTAACAACCACCACCGTCTCCTGTTCAGGCAGATACAACTTCAAATTCTGAAAATAGATGGTCACACACTAAATTGGCGTTTAGGAAATTATCAGTAGAAGGAAGGAAAATTTCCCATTCCTTGAAGAGAATATTTACTTGCAGCTCAGGATGAAGTGTCATATGTGTTACCTACATATGTCCTTACTCACTTGCGAGAATTTAGGCAGGAAGGTTGGGAAAGAGGCATGAAGTGACTTCAAGTTAGTGTTTTGGCTAATTCTGGATTTTTTTTTCTTTTTTACGAAAGTAAGGAGAAAAAAGTTTGTGTCAAGGATTGAGATGTGTCCTCCAGAAATAGATGTAAGAAATGTGGTGTGGAAGTTTGTCATGATCTCGCATGACCTGATAAGCAGTTACAAAAGGATTAACAGCAGGAGTATTGAGTATACCAGAGACTGCTAAGAGAGCAAACATATCTTACCTGGAGAGGGTGAAACCAGGCTGCTCCTTGGAGGCAAGGATTCTGAAGCTCTGTCAGACATACTTTGGGCATAGTGCAAGGAGGGACCAGTCCTTGGAGAGGGACAACTTGTTGGAAGGGTGGAGGGACAGTGCAGGAGTGGAAGACCCTGGATGAGGTGGATTGACTTAGTGGTGGAATAATGGGGGTAGGTGTGTCAGAGACGATAAGATTGGCTCAAGATGCAGCAGGGTTCAGAGCTGTTGTCTATAGGGTTGCTATGAGTCACAAGGCAACTCAACAGCACATAACAACAGCAACAACCACATAACACCTGTAATCCCATCAGAACCCTAAACTGATGAAGAGTTTCTCTGTGGAGAGGCCTGTAACACCTTTTAAAAGTGAACAGAGGGAGGGGATTTTATTAAAGTCAAGACAGAAAGCCAGAAGTGGTTTGGACCCCGGTCCCTAAGCTGGGAAGCTCCATGACACGAGTATGACAAAATATACGGAGAACTATAGGGGCTGCAAATAACAAGTTTTCTTCCAGACATGACACAGTAAGGCCTTGCCCTAGAGCTAGCCCCTGAACTTGAACTTTTGTCCTCCTAAACACTAAAGGCTTCTCTAGTTTCTTTACAATCAATAGGCATAAAACCACAGTCAAGAAATAAGTTTTTTTAATTCATTTTAATGAAAGTTTACAGAGATTTAGGGTTTCCAGCCATTCCTTGTTGCACTTTTCTCCCTGCCCACCTCCTCCCCGCCCCAAGAAATAATTTGATATATTTCATTAGGCCAATCTATTGCCACGGACCCCTTTGCTAAAGAGAAAGGATATCACATTAGTATTTTTTAGTTATTTCATGTGGATCTGAAAGTTGGATAATCAAGAAGGAATTGATGCCTTTGAATTGTGATGTTGGTGAAAAGTATTATACATCCCGTGGACTGCCAAAAGAAGAGAGGAGAAGTGCAGCCAGAGCTCCTTAGTAACAAGGAAGGTGCGAGTTTGTCTCATGTATTTGGCCGTGTTATTAGGAGCTGCCAGTCCTTAGAAAAGGATGTCATTCTTGAAAAAGTAGAGGGTCACCTCAGGAGAAGAAGACCCTCAAAGAAATGGACTGACAATGGCTGCCACACTCAGCGGAAGCACAAGAGATTGTGCAGAAGGTACAGGATCAAGGCAGGGCTGCATTTGTTGTACATGTGAGTTGGAGCTGACAACCACCTAACAACCACCTAACAACAAACTTATTTGCTCAAGTTTTTTACTTGAGGCATTATAGCAGAACTAGATATCTAAGACAAGTATCATTAAGGGAACAATACAAGATAGTATTTCCTAAGATGCTGCTTCTTTTGGTATATGTTTTGGGGTTTTTTTAAAAAATAACATTTTAAACAGTTCTTTCCTTCATATGTTCCAATGCAATATTCATTATTTATCCTCTCTTTTCTTAGCTTCTTCCCAACCCCTATATCAGTCCTGTTTTATAACCATATTGCTATGCAGTATTTGTTCTTTTGTGACAGATATTTCACTCAGCATGTCCTCCAGAGTCACTCATGTTGTGTAATATTTTTAGTTTCTTATTTTTCAATACTGCATAGTATTCCATTGTGTGACTATACCACAGCTTCTCTATCCATTCATTTGTTGGCACTTGTGTTGCTTCTATCTCTTTGCTATTAATAACACAGAAATAAACATAGGTGTGCACATAGCTGTTTGGGTGGCAGCTCTAGTTTCTTTAGGGTATATTCCTAGTAGTGGAATTTCTGGATCAAATGGTATTTCTATTTCTAACTTTTTGAGACAACACCACACTGCCTTCCATAATGGTTGCACCATTTTTGATGTAAGTGTTTCTTACACATGATGTGTCATATCTTCAGTTGCCTAGTGGACACTTCCAGTTTGCCAGGCTTTTGTCACTTATCATATCTCCAAATCTCTCCACATTTCCATTTGTGTATCACATTGGAACCATTACTTCAGACTGTGTAAAACCTGCACTTTGTCACCATAATCTGTTTCTCTTTCTGGCCCCTTTATTTCTCTGCTAGTGTTACCATCTTTGGAAGCACGAGTGGCATTCACTTCCTAAACATGCCTCTGAAAACTCTATGAACTTTGATAAATGTCAATAGTTATAGAAAGGCTTCAGGCCTTTTGTTCTTAGGGTCAATATGAGTCATGCTCTACTTGACAGCAATTAACAACAGTGTTACCATCACTGATTCTCTTAACTCTCATTTGAAATTGCCTTTTATGTCCTATTGCTTTCATTCTTTTGTGTATCATTACTGAATCTAAGCGAGACAGGGTTTTCTAGAGACTAACCTGTCTGCATGGGTTTATGGAAGATGAGATGCTTGAACATTTAGTCTTTGAAAATGGATTCGATTGTGAAGTCTTCTGAGTTAGTGAGCATCACTCATTATGGAATGGGATACATGTTCAAGGCTTGCCCCGAAGACTCTCTGCCGCCTGTGGAAGAAGGTCATGTGGTGGATGCTTAAGGCATGTGTTTATTAACAGGAACCAAGTGTTCGTGTGAGAGGGTGTGGGGCTACGTCATTAGGGGAGAATCCCTGCCTTGGGACTTTCTGACCTACCACCAGATATCCTTCCTGAGATCAGCTCTGGCTGCCCTGTCTCACTTCTGCATGTCAGACTGCCATACTGCCTCTGAGCAGTGGAGCACAGTGCTGTTCTGTACCCACCACGGCCTCCCAGACCAATCATTCAACCAAACGCAAGTCTATTTAGAACTATATTAGGGTAGGAAAAAACCCCATCAACTTCCAAAACTCAGATGATCTAAGCCTTAATGTACAAACAGATGCATCCAGTCTTGAGATTTCTAAACTGTAATCCATGCCATTTAAATGACTGTTCTTGATCTGGTTTCTTGCGCATCAAGCAGTCTTCTGATTACTTGACTTTGTGTTGGCCCTTTTTTTTCCCCCCTGAAGTGTTATCCAGGCTAGTAATTTGTAAAAATTCCCATCCTGTGGTGTTAGATCTGGTTTGGGGACTTCACAGGGCTTATGTCTGACCTACAATAGCTCTCCAGAACTTGAGGCAGCAATGTGTACCCAAATCTCCTCCCCAGCTGAGGTAGTGCACGTCCCTCAGCTTGTGTGGGCAAGCTTCTCCTTGGACTCCTGTGCACATGCTTGAAGCACATGCTGCCCAACACCTGCTCTGGCTTTCTCACTTTCCTATGATGTGAGCCTCTGAGGAGCCAGAAAATTTACTGAAGAAAAGACAGTAGCAGTTGGACTAATTGGAAACCCATTTGTTGTTGTTTTGTACCATCAAGTCGCCTGCAACTCATAGCAACCCTATGTACAACAGCCCTAAACCCTGCTCTGTCCTGTGCCAATCTCACTGTCTTCAACACACCTACCCTCATTACCCCAGTCACTGAATCAATCCATTTCATCAAGAGTCTTCCTCTCCTGTGCTGTCCTTCCACCCTCCCAACCATGACATCCCTCTCCAAGAACTGGTTCCTCCTTGCAACATGTCCAGAGTATGTCACATGAAGCTTCAGAATCTTTGCCTCCAAGGAGCAGCCTGACTTCACCCTCTCCAGGACAAACTTGATTGTTCTCCTAGTAGTCCATGGTATATTCAATACTCTTCCCCAGCACCACAGCTCAAAGGCATCAATTCTCCTTCTATAATCCCTAGTCATTGTCCAGCTTTCTGATGCATAGCAAATAATTGTAAAGACCATGGCCTGTATCAGGCGCACTTTAGTCTCCAGACTGACATTGCTCTTCTGTACTTTGGAGACAGCAGACTTTTCCAATGAAATTTGTCTTTTCATTTTCTGGCTGGTTGGTTTCCTTTAAGATAGTAGCAACAAGGTGAGAAAAAGGTAGAACTAATATTCTACCTTGTTAACACTTTCATGACAATATATTGGTGAAGCTCAATGTCAAGAAAATGAAGATTCTCACCACAGAGCCAGTTGGCAGCTTCATGATGGACTGTGAAGAGATTGAGATTGTTAACAATTTCAGCTTGCTTGGTTCCACAATCAACAGTCTTGACATCAATAGTCAGGAAATCAAAAGATGAATTTCACTGAGAAGATCTACTGTTAAGGAATTCTCTAGCATACTGAAAAGAACTATATCAGTCTGGAAATTAAGGTGCACCTCATACAGTCTATGG